TACATTGCCGATACTCGCCACCTCCACCCTGGAACATGTTCAATTTCTGTTTCTCGTATGGAAGGACCGAACAGGTTGTTTTCCTGCCTCAGTGGACCACTCAAGACTAAACAGCACTGATGGAAGAAGATTTGCCGTGAATCTCGTTCACATAATCAGCCTGTTTAATTGCTGTACTGAGGTGACTGCTTCATAACAATGACCAAGCAGCATTAATTTTTGCATAAGTTAGTACTGCAGTGCCCCTAAAATTGGAGAATATCGAAGTTCTCTGATAGCATTGTGATTCATTTGTGAATAAACATCACTACTCTTTTTGAGTAGCATAGCAATGACAGAGTTGGTTTGATGTATGACAAGAATGGAGCCGCTTTTTAAACCTGTACTATAATCAGTACCACCGGAAGCAGTTTTTGATTGGCCCATGGCCTTTTATACTTTGTGTGTGATCTGGCGGGTACACACGTCCTCCACAGCAGGAAACATTTGTTGGTGGCCAACAAGTTGGTCCGGTGATAACCTGACCAACCAGACCGGTTCCGGCGGGCCTGATAATTGTAGGGGTCATGAGCAGCTCAAGTACTTAGCATGGTTTTGGACATGTCCTCAGTTGAAACCGACTTCCCCAAGCGTTCTCTGAGGGGACCTCGGTCTACTCTATCAGTTCATGTATTCTGTGAAGTGACATGACCATTCGTGGGGACCTTGCTCATAACTGCAAAAGTCCTCGTCTGATTTTTCCGAATCAACTGAACGTTGTACATGTGCATGTAGTGAAAGCCACATGCAAAATGCTGTTCCATGACACTAATCTGCCACCAAGCACTGGGTTCATTGGCTGAAAATATTCTTCGGCACAGTAAAGTCGTGCGCCCAAGAGCGTGGAAGCCTAGAACATCCAGCCTGAAATACTAAGAACACCACAGCCCAAAATTAAGAATTGCGGTGCTGGGTTTGTGCTGTTGTAAAACACGGGGATTGTTATTGATTGTTATGTTGCACATGTATTTAAGCTTTGCCACTACATACACGCCTGTCATACACAATACTCAATCTGAGGACAACATGCTGTTTCGCTCATCAATGCAGCACAGAGAAAATGAGGCAGATGAATGTCCTGCTAGAGAGCATCGAATACTGTAAGACATGTTATTATAACGAGTCGCAAATTTAACGATTGTCCAAAATTCATAGGTTAACGAGAAGATATGTTTAACATATATAAAGCAGTATGGCCTCAACGGATCTTATTATAACGAAGAAATGTCATCCGTTAGATTTACTTCCTCGTTATAATTATATACATGTCTAACAGTACAGGTATAGAATCATGTCTTGCAGATCTCGTTACGGCCCCTTCGATGCATGTTTGAACATTAGATGGCTGTGTAGCTTCAGTTATCTCGGAATATGTTATCCAGCAGCAACAACGTTGGGCACCGATTAACTGACACACACCTATTCACTATAATGAGTATGCGTTGGAACACTTTACCCCGAGTCATACTATAGCAGTGAATGCCATGCATGGGCTTACCTCACACATTGAATTTCATAATTTGACATACAAATCACAGAAGAGTGGTGTTCCAAACTTTACGTAATTGCACAGTAGAATACTTTAATAGAATGATAGTTATAGCACGTTCTTAGAAACAAATCGTATAGGTTCGAGGCTGTCAACCCAGAAATTTGTGATTTCACAGCCATAGATGTTACCAGTCACGTCACTGTATACAGTAGGTATGCAGAAGAAAATACTAGTAACTCTTTGTGGAAGAGCTGTGCCAAAATGTGTACAGTACAGTAAATTAATAAAAAGTGGGAAAAGCAGTGACAAGGCTGTGCATGATGTAGATCTACCAGTAAGTACAGTGCACCAGTGAAACTGTTGGTGTAGTACCGGTATACTACTATAATTATGGCATGGCCCATGCCACTACAATCTATTTGCAGTGGGCCGCAGTAGGCCAGTGCAACAGAAAGCAATTCAGTAGCTGAGTGCAATGTGAACATCTATGACATGCAAGTAAACTGCCATACAGCACAATCAATTACTCTCAGCCCACATAAGTACAATGTAGGCCAATCAGTAGTATAGATACATAGAGCACACTCTACATCATACATACGAAGTAGTTAGCACCAAATCTATATTGTCGATGTCCTTTGCAATGACGAAATGATGGCAAGCATGCTTGATTCATCATAATACTGCCTTGAACTTGGTTGGAAGTTAGTTGGAAGTTCAGTGGTCGAGGTAAGCAGAGCTGCTCCAGCTTTCAGAATCCTGCATGAAAAAGGCAGAAAGCAAATGTAGGTATAATAGTAGCAAGCTGACGTAAAGAGCTTGTCCAGGCTTTCAATACAATAATTCTTTCCACTGCATGGACAGACCTGGTGCTTCATTTACCTCTGTTTCTTGCTTTAGAAAACCTACTTCCTCCTTCTGCCATGTAGCTCATGACATACATTTTCTTTACGCCTTTTCAGCCGTGGTCGATTTTCGCCCCTCCTGTTTGATTGCAATATTGACCCTCGATTGTGAATGAGAAAAGTGTCGTTATTGGTGTATTGTTGTTACTCGTGAGGTTGGAAGTATGCAATCAAATGGTGTCTAGATCTGAAGATTGTATCGTTATTTGCGAGTTGTTTTGTAAACCCGAGGTACATTATTCACAAGGTGGATTGTACATGCTATGGGATGTAGAATAACTAACCAAACAAGAATGGTGTAACAATGATTTGAGTCCATATCCAATTGGATGAACCTAGAGCGCATGATCCAATACAGAAAGGCGACTTCAGTGAGTCTTGAATTGTCAGCAGCATCATACTTCCATTGAGCTTTTTTTTCTTTTTCGAAACGACCCTCTCTTTTCAATTCGAACGAAGGTCAACATACGATTACGGCAGGCATGCATGCACTGATCTTCACTGTATACATGTGCATGTATACTGTACTGTAGTCTGTTCAGTCAACTAGTCATGTTCCACTTGGCTTCCATAGGTGCAACTTGGCTTACGGTAAGTGTCACTACAAGTGCATAGTAGCCCCCCTCCGGGAGTGCGCGTGAACAGGAACTGTGAACTGGTAAAAGAATCATTCGACACCTTCATTCGTTTCGATGGAGAAGGTTCATTTGGCAAATTGAGGCCTTCGTTTCACCCCTAGCCACAGGAGTGAAATTTTCACTCCTTGGCTGCCTGTTTGAGCCGTCCTTGTGGAAGGGTTGATTTATGCATGTCTGCATATAGACCTTATTCGATAAACGTCACAATCACGTGAACCGGGGTCCCGGGAACCAGGGAGCGGCAAGAGACCTGCACTCAGTGCACAGAGGACTTGGCGTGGGAACATAGGAGTAGAAGAATACCGGTAATTTACTACTCCCTTGTACGAACTGGGCCTTTCTTGCCACTTGTTTCACGTACGCGTGCCCCAGCTTACGACAAATCCCTGGAGGCGAGTCCAAAAATCATGTTATCGAATAAGGTCTATAGAATTGTTGATCTAGACGTTTGGGTTTAACAGAGCAAGCCTGTGATTAAGAGCTGCACAGAACACAGATCACGTAAAACTACCCAATATGGGGTCAAAACTCACAACGTTTTGGGTACTTTGGTCTCATGTCGTCTCCCCAGGTGCTCTGAATCCCTGATGCACATGTATCTACATATACAATGTAACCGTAACTCTACCAATGTTGCGGACGATGACCCCCCCCCCCCCCCCGGCATACAGAAAGTTGCTATGTCCTGGCCCTCATACAGCATTGGGGAGGCACTGAATCACTTTTGCAAAAAGGACTAGCCGAAAGTGGCATTACATATTTTCTATTCCCAGAAAAGCGGCGTTCCAGCCGAGTTTATCTTTTAATTTAATGGTTTTCTCGGTTGGGATTTCATACCTGACAACCATCCCGATTTGGCCGGGATCGTCCCGACATCGAGGGCGGTACCCAAAAGTGCATTAGTTCCATGCCTCACCGCGAGCTACATTTGTATACATTTTCATGCCTAGGTATGTCATTCGATCTCAGGTTTGCAAAGGTTGGCAGGTATGGGATTTGTAGAGCGACCAGTTCTGACTATTGCCACCTGCTGCGCAGAAGTGTCATTCCTACATCCTGGCTGCAAACCTACCCCCCCCCCCCCCCCACGCACACCACCAACAATGTTGGATCCTATTTACAGGACCTCACTCTATATGAAAGTGTAGCAGAGGCACTGCCAAAGTATAAAAACAACATTTCAAGTCGTTTGAAATGCAAGCTCCATTGTGCATGCATGGAGGGCATGGGGAAGAGACGGAGAGGGTGAAAGTGAAGGAAATTTGTTCCGAAATCAAGAGAATCCGAGGAACCCTTGCTGCATTCTTCAGTACGATAACGTCAGTGGGTGCATCTCAGATGTGTTGTTTGCCCAGACATACAAGTAGCACTAACCTGAGCATGAGAGCTGCTTGTCATCATCGTGGTCAGGAAAACGAAAGGACGAACGTAGAAGATTGCTGACCATGACGAACAACAGTGCATATCCAGACGACAGACGGCTTGCCAGAATCAGTCTGGTGCATCTTCAGGAATCTTCTTTCCTAATCGCATTCAGCAGTCAGCTTCGAGGTCAAGAACGCGATGATTTTTCAGAAGGAATAATTTTCAATTTTTTTTAAATTTTGGAGAAGAAGCTTCCTTTCTAAAAAAAAAGCGTTCCTTGCTTTCACGCAAGGTGCCTTGCCGGACATGTCGTCGACAGCACAGTGTCGGCACATCCACGTTTGTAGGCTGCAGACCCGGCAGACGTTTTGATCAGCCCGGCCTGGTGGTGAGATTTTGGACCCGGGAGTACTAAAAACTGCTCGCAGGCCAGGGTGCTCAGTTTCGCTCTATCCGATCGAGTAAGGCTTCCAGAAAGGCCCTCAGGTGCGCGGCCTGCGGTGCCATAATATACCTCACACGGACTGAACAGGGCCATCGCGGAAGTTGAGCTTGTAGTACAGGATCCGAAGCTCAAAAATAAAATTGGGTCTGCCACTTCACTCCGAGTATTTGCCGCTTTCAGAGCTGATAGGTGATGGTAATAGAAGGTCAATTTTGTTTGTTGGCCCTTCTGAATCGGGGAAGGAGACGAGCGGCGAGAGGGTTTTCGTCGACGATTTCGCAAGCCTTCTCAAGCATTCTCAAGGAGGTCGCAAATTTATTTTCGCCGTGCGTCCGTACGCGCATGGCTTGAGCATGCACACATTGCGCACCCACGACAAACATTTGAAAAATTTAGGAAATGACGACGCCGTAGAAAATGACGGCGCTGGCCGGGGAACTTATTTGAGGAAGCACGAGGTCTTTCAATTTCAATCCCACGCGAGTAAGCATGGAGGAAGACGAGAATTGTGCCTCCTGTGCACAAAGTCCAGGTAGTGTTGGGCATTTAGTGGCTTCAGCCAGTACTCAGGTTTCGGAAATTTCGTGGGGCTCATGTTTGTGCCACTGTGTGAAGATCGAAGGAAGCGAAAAGGAGGAGAAAGTAAATTTCACGAACACCAGCTGGTCTCGAGTGGTATCTGCTGCCAAAATTCGCCAGGACGGCACATGGGCCTTTCTCTGCCAGGAGCAGTGTAGCACGGATGAGAGCACCCCGCGTGGCTGGTACCATAGGCGCTGCTATGCAGCCTACACCCACAAGAAGACTCTGAGTCGTTTTGAGGGAGAGGAGAGTGGTGGCCTTGTCAGCAATGTTGACGCAGAGGAGGTGGGTGACGCAGATGCCTGTGAGGATGAACCTCCCAAGAAGCGTGTTATGACACGAAGCAAAGTGACAACCATCGACATCACTCTGTGTATAATATGTCAACAAAAAACAAAAAAAAAGAACCGGAAAGCTGAACCGCTTACCCTCTGTTCAGAATTCCGTGCTGGCGAAAGCCTGATCCGTGCGGCAAATGCACGTGGAGATGAAGCAGGCCAGCGGATTTTACTTACCCTCCAGGAGGGCAGTCCCGATTGTGTAGCATCGGACATATGCTACCATTTCTCCTGCTACCGTAACTACACTCATTCTAGCACGGTGGCAGCACTGGAGGCAAAGAAGACGACGGCAGTTGCAGAAGACAATGTGTACGATAGAGCCTTTGAGTGGCTAGCTGTATGCATGGAGAAGGAGCTCTTCAGTGAGACAGAAATACGAGCGATGCGTATGGACAGCCTGACGTCCAAGTACAGCGCCAAGCTGGCAGAGCTCGGAGCTGCAAGTCAATACCGACGATGGCTGCTGAAGAAGCGCCTGTTGGAGCATTTTGGAAAACGCATCAACTTCGTCCGTCCTGGTCCATTGTCACCCGAGAGCGTTGTAAGCAGCTCCTTGACAGAATCACAACTGCTACAAATAGTTGGTGCAGCAGTAGCCAAGGCTGAGGCAGCCCAGCAGTGCGCCGACGAATATGCTGGAGATGATATGGCGGATGAAGATGCACCTCCAGCTATTGATAGCAGCTGCAAGGTACATGCCTTCCACACAGCCATGGCTCTGAACAACGCCATCCGTGATCAGCAGCCCACAATACCCACCATGCCACATGCCAGTGATATCGTAAATGAGAATGCGCCAGTGCCAGACATCCTCTACAATGTGCTTGCCATGACCATTGTCGGCCCTGAGAAGTGTGACATTGGTGACCTGACGGACTCCCGTGTCCATGTCCCTGCCGACATCCATTGCAAGATTTTGGCAATTGCTGAGGATATTGTGTATGCTGCAACTCGTGGATCTATTCTGACACCAAAGCACGTAGCTTTGGCGCTTACTGTCCACCACCACACGAGGAGCAAGCACATGGTGGATCTTCTCAACCAGTTCGGCCATGGCATATCGTATTCAAAGCTGCGAGAAGTAGAAACCGGGTATTCTCTCGAAGTAGCAGGAAGTTCCGCAGCCAGCAGTGTTGTAGTACCCCGTGGCATTTCCCAGCATGGAGGTGATGTTCATTTCTGCTGGGACAATAACGACCTCAACGAGGAAACTCTGAGTGGCCAAGGGACGACACACTGCACCAACGGCATTGTGCTCCAGCACTCGCTGCCCTTCCAGGACGATCCGTGTCCACCAGAAAGTACGAGCCGTGCCGAGCCAGGTAACCAACGCCGACCGCGAAGTGTTGCCCCACCTGCAGTTCCGAGCCTAGAATACAACTGCGGTGCGAGACCAAGACCTCCTCCAATGGCCCATCCAGTTCCTGATGCACAAGGCTCGATTGACCCATTTCTCACTGTGGCATCGATTGACCTGATTTGGTTCTTGTTGCGCGCAGACCAGACGGTATCACCGAAGTTTGGTAGACCTGATGACGAGTCACAACTGGTACCCGCATGGTCCGGCTTCAATGCTGAACTGAACCAGTCAACCGCGCCAGGGACACCAACAACAGTCGGTTACCTGCCGATCATCCCAGCATCGCCTACAGCCATGAGCACAGTTTATGAGCTTGTTGTCCGGTCCCTCCGCACATCGAAGAAGCTGAATCAGCCACATTGTATCATCACCGCCGACCAAGCAGTTTATGCCAAAGCTGTGGAAGTTTGCTGGAAAAATGCTGAGCTGAAGGATGTAGTCCTCCGCATGGGTGCATTCCATACGTCGTGTGCCTTCCTTGCTGTTCTTGGGAAGAGGTTTGGCAGTGCTGGCTTGGAAGACCTCCTCGTCGAGTCAGGCGTAGTTGGCAGCAATGCGTGCAAGCAGGTGATGGCCGGCAAGCATTACAACCGCGGTGTTCGCCTCCATAAGCTTGCCTTTGAGTGTCTGCTGGGAGTGAACTGGAAGCTGTACGAGGACAGCATTGAAGGTGAGGGGACAGAAACATAGGAGTTGTGCTGCAAACTTTCTTTATTGCATTCCATCTGTGCACACTAGACGAAGTGAAGTAGTTTGAGAAATGGTGCCTGTTGTTCTCACTCCAGTGGTCTGCATGTAGCACTTTGTGTTCTAATTTTCTGACCTATGTACATGTGCGTGTGTGTTCATGTATTGAAGGTGGAGGAGACACGGTGTCAAGCGATCTTGAAGGAACTTTGTCAGCATTGCGCACATCTGGTATATTTGATGGTGCTGAGTCAGTAACCAGTTCATCCAGCTACCAGAAACTTGAGCAAGGGTACCGAAAGCATGTTCAGCTGCAACGCACCAGCCCAGCATCACCCATGGCCCAGTTTTGGCTAACATACCTCGACATGGTTGGCCTGCTGCTTCAATTCATCCGAGCTACGCGGACAGGGAACTGGTCGCTACATCTGGCATGCATAGAGAACATGTTGCCATGGTTCTTTGCATACGATCGACAGAACTACTCCAGGTGAGATGCTTGGGCCCTTCATTAAGTTATCAGCTGTGTGACCGACGCAATTAAAACATTTTGCTTCAAATACGAATCATTCAGTTCTCCTAAATTGAGTTCTCATTACATTGTGCTTCACAGGTACCTGTCGCTGTATTGGCAACAAATGCGTCAACTGCCTGCTACCAACCCTCCTGCCCACAAAGCCCTATCAGGAGGTTGCTTCTCTGTTGCAAGGTCTACGAACAGCTTCTCGAAGGTGGCTGTTGATCAGTGCATTGAACAGACCATCAACCGGCAAAGCAAGTCACATGGAGGACTCATTGGCTTCAGCCGCAACCCAGGTAAGGGCAAAAATTCGTAACAACTGACCAAACTTCAAATTATCCAATAGAACATACATGTACACTGATGGGGAGATACTTCCTGATGATCCCACATGCAAGATCAAACAGTAAGCAACCAATGTACACTATGCAAACACAGTGTGCTGCCCACCTGCATCACGAATAGGAAATGATTCGACTCTAATGTGATCCTGAACAGTTGTGGATTACATGTACATGATGATGTATTTCTCCTTCCCTTTTCTGTATAATTGTCCTATAAAGGAACTGTTCACCGCTGGGTGCTCACAGCTCACGAGCGAGCAGCTGTTGCAAGTGCATGTAACGACCTCGTCAAAGCGGAGGACTATGATGGCACAGCACGTCCACACAAGGACAACACAGACAGCAGAATGAAACGGGATCAAAGCGACTATGGGAAGCTCGAAAAGCGGTTGGCAGAGTTCAGCCATCCGTTCCTTGGCGAAGATTTGATCAGCCTCTCCAGTGGGAAAGTCTGTTCTGCTCAAGCAACCTCCGATCTCCTATCCAGTCACACGCAGGGAAAGAGTGCAATGAGCAAGTTCGTGGCAGACCGCTTGGAGAGTCAGGTAAGACGGTTATGATTTTGCAGCACACCATGTTAAAAGTCTTGACGTGTGGATATATGATAGGATGCATGTTTTGGTGACATACTTTGTTACCAAACACATTGAAATCAAAAGTGACGCTGTAGGGGATGTTATAATTCCGTTCTGTACTCCGTAATCCATGCACTACGTTCTAAGTTGTCAACCCATTTGTGTGTGTGTGTGCATGCGTGACTTGTTTCTTCCTACAGGCAGTTGATTTCTTCACACCGATATCACGGCTGAACCTGAAGACGTTCTCGGAAACCAAATCTGCAGCAAAGAAGTCTTCCAAGACAACAGCGATCGTGGCAGATAGGAGCTTATTCGGCCGGCTACTAGTTATGGCTCAATCAAGGTCATTCGACTTGAAGGAACTCTTCCAGCATGAGCTTGGACCAGTCCCATGGGCCCTGGCCAACGCAGACGGATCCCTTGTGAAGACTCCAAAGAGTAAGCTGCTGCTTGCTCTTGAGAAGAAAGTTGACCCACTGGAGTCAGTTCCGCGTGGTCCTGCCGTTATGGTCGACGCGATGGCATTACTGCAGAGCTACACATCTGCGCCACCGACATTCGGACAGCTCAGCGAACAAGTCTTCAAGCAGCTAGTCTCCTACCTTCCAGCTACACCTCCAGCACGAGTTGACTTCATAGCAGATCAATACCACACTGCGTCGATTAAGTCGTGCGAGCGCTCAAAGCGAACGGCCTCAACTGAGCCCCTGCGAGTGGCAGTACAACGTCCAGACCAGGCTATTCCTACTCAGTGGAAGCGGTTCATGGCAAGCGGAGCGAATAAGGCCGGCCTAATCCAGTTCTTCGCTGACCATTGGAGTTCTACACCGGAGCTCAAGGCAACATTGGGTGTCAGTCGCAGTGTATTCATAACCGTGGGACAGCAGTGCTACGTGTTGCAAGAAGAAGAAGGGAAATCGACACTTTCACGGCACCAGGTGTCCAGGTTAGTATTATAAAAGACAAACAGTACAATGTCATGTTTATTTTCGACTTTGACTATTGTCAAGCAAGTGGTATAAAACATTTGCTGCATATTGGTCCCACAAGTACAAGTAGGATATTGCTGATGGATTGAATTCAGTGATGAAAATCACATAATCTGGCAGAGCCATGTTATCGTTCTCTGAATGCCCGGGAAATCATTTTGCTCTTTTTACAATTTTGATCATGTTCACAGGTTGACCAGCAATCATGAGGAAGCAGACACCCGGCTGATCCTTCATGCCGCTGATGCTGTGCAGCAAGGATTCCCAGATGTTGTCATTCGGTCGCCAGACACGGATGTAGCCGTGATTGCCATTGGCTCCGCTAGCAGCATTCCCGGTCGGCTCATATTCCAGACTGGCACGCAGCAACGGAGGCGGTTCATCGACCTTACCCAGCTGTCACAGAAGCTGGGCCCCCTGGTTTCGTCTGCAATTGTTGGACTGCATGCTCTTACTGGGTGTGACAGTGTCAGTTCCTTTTCTGGGAAGGGAAAGACTGCTCCGCTGAAGCTGCTCCTGTCAAGCACGCGACTGGCAGAGGCACTGGCGACTCTGGGTGTCAATGCTACATCGGATGACCAGCTGCTTTCTGAATGTGAGTGGTTTGCGTGTGCCTTGTATGGCAATCCTGGCCAGCAAGACATCAACAGCCTGCGCTACCAAAAGTTCTGTGCGGCCACATCCTGTGCTCCGCACAAACTACCGCCCTCACGCGACGCTCTCCATCAACATGTGGCCAGGGCTAACTACCAGGCCCACATTTGGCGGAGCGCCACCACTGCGATGCCAGAAGTACCGAGTCCAGTGGGCCATGGCTGGCAGTCGGAGACTGACGGCACGCTTTCCATCTCCTGGATGCTGCAGCGCGTCGCTCCTGCTGACATACTAAAACTGGTGAGCTGTGGGTGCAAGACAAGGCACTGCGTAAGTCAGCACTGTTCGTGCAAGAAGGCGTCCTTGGCTTGCACAGACATCTGCTCGTGCTGCTCATGCGCCAATCCGTTTGGGGCCGTACTCGAACAGAACGACAGCTCCGGTGCCGCAGATGTGGGAACAACTGCATGTGAAGGCGACCAAAACAGTGAGAGCGAGGAAAGTACTGGTGCTGACGACTTTGAAGAGTCTGACTCCAGCTCAGATTCTGATGAGGATCCAGATCAGGAGTTTGACGACTCGCTGTAGACACTGGCAACTGCACCGTCCTCCCCTGGTCCAAGCCACCCATTGTGTTTGTGAATTATGGCTATGGCTGTCAACACACCTAACCTGTTCACACATTGTATATAAACTGCTTGTACATAGCTTGGCTTCTAAAGTGATGACGCTATCATCCTACATTTTATTCCAATTTACATATTAAACTGGGCATATTGTCCATGAATTGCACAGCACTGGACATGTCTTCCTTACTACAGTTGTAGTATTTATTTATTTCATTTTCGATTGAGTAGTGACTACAATGCGTTTATATCATTTCTAGTCTTCTCTAACTCTAATTTAATCGAGTGCTATTGAAGGTGTGTGTGCCTGAGAGAGAAGCAGGGAAAGGGTCCAAGCTTACCTTTGCAGAATGATAGGTAAGGTGTCCCTCGTATCGATCGTATCAACGAAATTCCAATCAAGAAAACATTTGAGATCACTCGCGAAGCGGCGTCAAACTACACGACACGACAGGTAGTTTGTTGGCTGCCATTGCGAGTTGGTAGTGGAAGGACCAAACGATATCTAGGCTAGGCTTACGAAGTCCCTGTGCTTTACTTCTACAAGAGCGAGAGTAAACTTCTTGACCAAGAATATTATTATTATGATCAACAACAAAGTGAAGTCGCTCGCCGACCAGATCAGACACTCGCTTTGAGTTTTCAAATTTGAGTGCATTTGGTTGTCATGTGCGTACTCTACGCAACTCAGAATCGGCCCGAGACGAAAGGTGAGCAGTTCAAGTGACCGACGAAGCTGAACTAAAATTGCCTCTCGCGGAGCTCCTTCCCCGATCTAGACGGGCCAACAACTACCATTCGACTCCACAACAGGTACTCTCTCCACCTGTACAGTTCGATTTTACTCGGATTCTAGTGGCAGACCACTTTCAGATTTAGACACTTTTTTTTGTCCTGGATCCCCGACTATTGGCTCAACTTTTGCGATGCGACAAGCGATTTGGCGTACGATGTTGGCCTTTTCTACTGCAAAGTTGCACACAGGTTCAAGAGTTGCCTATCAATTAATTTTATAGAAGTTGTACCGCCCGCGCGAATACCGTGGTGGCGTACCCAAATCAGCAAGATTTTGTCGCATCGCTGACTTCTTCTGTGAATGGTATTTCGCGAGTTCGCATCGCACGCGACTCGCGATGCGACGCCATCTGTCTGCGATGGACGCGTGCAATGCGAACTCGCGAAATGCCTTTGGTTCATCCCAAGAAGTCAGTAGGGAGGTTTAGTTCCACGTAGCAGTCCGTGCGCCAAGGGGTACTCAAGGGCTGATTTTATTTGCAACCGCGGGAAACGAAGTCACCAAGACGCCTTCATTTGAGGCTTTTGGAATTGGAGAATTTATTGAATTTAGGTATGGCTCTCGTCCCTTCTAGAGAACTAACCAAGACCCTGTGGGGGCAAAAGGAGACTTCTTTGGCTCCGTGAATACACTAGCTATGCGGTGGTCTACTTAGTTTGAGTGTGTGGTTCGTATTCAAAGTGTTCCAAGCCGCAGTTCACTCGAAGGTCATCGTGGATACGTCTGCACTTGAAAATCAAGGCTGGAAAGGACTGCCTGGTGTGTCCGAACGGTATGTTTTGCACTGAAGGCATTTTTTGTATGAATTGTTGAAAGTGTCTACTTGTTCGAAATGCAAAAGACATGGTCGTAGATCCTTGGCCCACAACACCCCACTAAATAAACTATGACCTGTCGTGAAATTATGTGAAATTGATCAACACAATCATCCACAAATTATCCTATGCCAAAGTACTGCAAATGCAAATAATGGCATCCCTTTACCTAGGTCATGTTTGTAGGGCCTTATGCCACATCTTTGCATGATTTCCTCATGCAAATCCTGTGCCTAGCTTCGAAAACACATTGCGCTAAGTGCCGAATATATACCTGTGAATCAGAACAACAGCACTCACTATTGCTTTCATGAGTGGTAATGGTCAGCTGAAAGGAAACTTCTATCCATCAACTCATAAGTAAAGTAATGACTAATCTCCTTGCTGCGCATGTGGTTCCTTCGTATTTACATGTACCGTAAAGTACCACCAGAGCGCCCCACCATCTCGTCCTTTCGGGGTCGTATTGTGGGGTGGTCTCCGGTCTGTAGGTTATACGACATGAACTTTGTACACATATTGCACGTTCTGCAGACAATCTGTGCCTTCGAGCGGACACGAGCTCCACACAAAAACCTGCTTAGTGTGACCTTAGTACACTAAGTTGCTCACACCGTACGAACTTCGTTGCACTCTGCCATACGATTTTCCTTTCCCTGGCTGTATTATATAAATCTGTCGCAGCAAAATCAAGGTGGGGCGCTCTCGCGGTACTTTACGGTATGTGCGCCTCTCTGTGTTCGGTGAATGATTTTGAATATTTGCGCACGACTTCAGGATAGTGCACATTGTATGCATGTACCTGCATATGTAATCCTTTCATGATTTAAAAATTAGGAGCCGTGCTTCTCATCACCGTGGACAAGTAAATGTCGGCCAGTTACGTAGCGTTTGGAGATTTGCACAAGTACAGTTGCGTGTCGATTATGCGGCAACCGCGGAATAAAATGAATATTCTGGACGACTGAAGCTACAAAGCCATCTTGTGTTAACTTAACAGATCAAAAAGACAGTACTTCGAAGTACCTGTATTTATCACTAGTATTACCCTGAGACAGTCGTGCTCATCTCTAGAGACTGGCTTGTATTTAACTCTACGTAATGGCAACTTTCATGATGCTGACTGTCTACATTTATTTGAAGTAGGACTATAAATACTAAATATAAGGTCTATAAGCTGTCAGTGCGGTGCTGTTGGATACCCGACATGCCATGTGACTGACCGCCAGATACTAGTAAACGACATGCGATTGTACCGGTCACAGTGTAGCTGGGTTTTCACGAAAATTTGAAACTTATACGATTGTGAGAAAAGTTCAGAAACCACACTTACACATACACACGCACGCACACACACACACACACACACACACATGCGCGCACGCGCGCGTGTGCACACACACCTGTCCTGTTCTGTTGAGCCACTACCACAACTTAGCACAAGGATCGCACCGGCCCCAAAGGGGCAGTAGAGCGAAAGTGAGAGGTGTTGGCTTCGAGTTCACCTATCTCTACGGTGAACGCAACCTCGATCGAAAGTCATGCCAAACGGATTTATCTACCACGCGCGCGCGCGTGCGCGTATACAAAACGGAGGAAGGATTACTTACTCTCCCTGTATGATGTTTCTGTTGTATTCGTGAACAATGTCATTGATGTTTTTCCATGCATGTTTTTGAATATGCGAGCATAACTTCCAACATCAAGCACATTCTTGCTTCTCATCAGCATTATACAAGTTTATGTTGGGCAGTTATGTAGTGTTTGTTTTACCGGCTGCGTTTGTTGGTGCTTACAGGTCATTGGCATGCTGTCTGTTTCACAGAAGCTCATGTAACATGTTCACCGTACAGCTATGAATGCAATGTAGCGTGTCGAAGCCACTTCGGTATGACGTGATGCCTAATTTCCTGGTTGTACCAAAATTGCGAGTATGCAAGTGATCGTCAAGCCTGTCCCCTGTACAGTAGCCGTCTTGCCTTGTTATGCCTGGTTCTGACTCTGCGTTCTCGTATACTCCATGCAATGTTACAAGGAATACTGCTCCCTTCTCAAGCAATTCATTGGCAACAAAACGCTCTGCTATGCCCCGTAACTTTGCTGTGCGGTTTGTGCTTTGTCAATGTTGTGTACCAGTTCATGATCTGTGCTTGCTGTTCTGTTTGTTTTCTCTCGCACAATTGAGGCGCTGTAGCACAGTGTACAGTGTCGATCATCCTGCCCAGGCTCTGATTTCACGTACCACAGTACGGTTTCTCTTGTTGCTCACTGTAATGTGCATGATACAAGCTCCTTGGTACTCCATCATCACCTGGTGCTGTTGCTGCCATTGTTGGACCCTGCTGATATCCTTCTCGCAATGCCCGAACGTTGTTCCAACAAATGCACAACTCGCTCTTAGTTGTCACATTCGGTTTGGTCTCGTTCCAGTCTTTCGAATTGAGTGAGTGCGTAAACTTGTATGAAGTGGTGAAGCAAAAGCCGTGCGCCGGCAAACATTCAATGTCCGGGTGTAATGACGCACCAAGGTCCCGGGACTTGCGTCCAATTCCTGAGTGATTTTTGTGTGCCTAGCCTCTAGGTATCATACCATATTTGTTTGGTTCAACCGTTTTGGATGCCCACTGCAATACCATTCACTGTATTATGTGTGTATGTTATCCAAGAAATCTCCCATATTTTGGGTGGACAAACCTCGCCATAAGTCAGTAACCTGGCATTTTGCACTAACAGAACTCCTAGGATATCAGCGCCGTCTCAGTACCTGGGGACAGTTGTAAAGAAAAAGAAAAAATATCCTTGGCCCACAATGCCCCACTAAATAATCCGAAGGGTGTCGCGAAGACTACAATTTCCTTACCTTTCTTTCGTGGACGAAAAAAGACACTTCGCTTCGTCCGTTGCGCATGAAACGAAACATGAGGGTAGTGTTTATTAATTAGAATAGGTATCATGCACGAAGGAATGGCGAAAAGGTACTATGCTCGAGCGCTGGTCGTCGTCTTGTTTGTCAATTTTGAGTCCCATTGAGAATTTTCTTCTCCAGACCTCTCAAATTTCCCGCGGTTGCAAATAAAAGTGCAACTTCTAGACGACTTTTTTGAATTTGGCGCACGGACTGGTAGTCCGGGGGTACTTTACGTGGGTGTACCACGTGATACTCAGTGACCCACGTACAGACTGATTTGGCTACGTCACCATGATATTCGCGTGGTTTGATACAACTTGTACAAATTTATATGACAACATACACAGCATCGGTTGTACCGAATTTTTCGGTGCGTTTTATTATCGGTGAAAATTGCCTGTACCGAAGTTACCGAAAATAAAACACCACCGAAAACTTCTGCTTTTACAGTATCCAGGTCGTTTTTAGCGAGCAGCGGAGTAATAAAGAAAGCACTCTCTCAGTCTCTGACAGAAACTAACTGAGGCCGTGAGGGGATGCAAATCCTCAGCATGATCATGGCAGATACTGTAAAAGCAGAAATTTTCGGTGGTGTTTTATTTTCGGTAACTTCGGTGCCGAAATTTTTACCGAAAATAAAACGCACCGAAAATGTCGGTATAGTACTAGTACACACTTACCTGGCACGTGGGTTTACCGAAAATTTCCCTCCGCCGAACCGCCGATTTTGGAGAATACCGAAAATATTACACCACCGAAAATTTCTG